TTGCAAAGGCGTTCGACAAATGTGACCATGGGGTGATAGCTCACAAAATGAGGTCAATGGGAATAACTGGAAACGTAGGATGCTGGATACTCAATTTCCTGTCGAACAGAACACAAAGAGTAACAGTCAATCAGATAAAATCGAGTCCAAGCGATGTTAAAAGCTCTGTACCTCAAGGTACAGTCCTTGCACCGCTACTGTTCCTTATTATCATATCTGATATAGACAAAAATACATATCACAGCTTCGTGTCATCCTATGCAGATGACACAAAAATCAGCATGAAAATTACCTCTGCTGAAGACATTGAAAAACTACAAGCAGATGTCAACAAAGTTTTCGATTGGGCAGCAGAAAATAACATGATGTTTAACAGTGATAAATTTCAGGTACTCAGGTACGGCAAAAATGAGGATCTGAAACATAATACAGGGTACAAAACACAATCGAATCTTCCCATAGTAGAAAAACAGCATGTCAAGGATTTGGGAATAATGATGTCCGACACTCTAAAGTTTAGGGACTATAACCAAGCAAATATTGCGACAGCCAGAAAAATGATAGGATGGATTACAAGAACTTTCAAGTCCAGGGATCCCATCACAATGGTTGTACTCTTCAAGTCACTTGTGTTGTCCCGTCTTGAGTACTGCTCAGTACTCGCTTCCCCCTTCAGAGCAGGAGAGATTGCTGAAATAGAGGGAATACAGAGAACATATACGGCACGCATAGACGCGATAAAGCACCTAAATTATTGGGATCGTCTCAAAGCCCTCCAAATGTACTCACTAGAAAGAAGACGAGAGAGATATCAAATAATATACACCTGGAAGATACTGGAGGGCCAAGTACCAAATCTACACAGTAAAATAACAACGTACTGGAGTGAACGATATGGAAGAAAATGAAGAATAGAACCAGTGAAGAGGCACAATCAGAGAACACTGTATAAACATCAGAGGTCCACGGTTGTTCAGCACCCTCCCAGCAAACATAAGAAATATTGCCGGAAAAACCGTGGACATTTTCAAGAGGAAACTAGAATTATTCCTCCAAGGAGTGCCGGACCAACCGGGCTGTGGTGGGTATGGGATATTCCACCTCCATGCCTGCGGGCCGCTCCAAGCAACAGCCTAGTGGACCAAACTCTCACAAGTCAAGCCTGGCCTCGGGCCGGGCTTGGGGAGTAGAAGAACTCCCAGAACCCCATCAACCAGGTATCAACCAGGTAATATTGAGCCACGAGAAGGTAGAAAAGTTCTACAGACAATTGCGTTACCTGTATACATATACCGTCCTGTCAGTGTAGTTGGCTGAGGGTCTCAAGAAGTGTTTTACTATTACGTAGTGGATACAGGCAAGAGAAGTAAAAGGATTCGGAAGAGAACCATTATTACTGCTGAGTAACGCTACTCTCTTTGTTATTGTCTCAGTGTATATATAACTGTAAATCTAATGTACAGTGTCCAGTAATTTGTATATATATATACAGTATATATATATAACTCGGCATATAAGGTACCCACGTTTGTGGGTAATATAGATAAATATCCATGATAAAATTTTACCTATATTTTATTTTGACCTTAGTCAGGGCTCAGTTATGTCCGTGTGTCACACCTGACAACAGGTCACGGTGAGGACGACACCTGACTAAGTCGGAGGTGACTACATCCGGATAATATCAGATTTATCTATAACTATAGTTATCAGAGTAACTATACACTAGAAAAGACTAAATTAAATGTGTTGGGCTATGTAATAGACATTTCGATCCCAACAGCAGTTAGCTACCTCTACCAAGCAGTTTGCCACCTCTAACTAGCAGTTAAACAGCCTGTACCCAGCTGTGGTGTAATCACAAACTAGCATTTGCCGGCTGCTCACGTTGACAAGACGTAACGCCATCACACACACGGGTATAAATAAAGCCCTGCAACCCATGGAAGCTTGTTTCTCTGTGGTGCTCTTGGGGTCATCATTGCTTCTCTCACTTGCCATCAGCCTACGTCGTGTGTCGGGTGCTGTGGTGGACGTCTTCAGCTCACTAGTATACTAATGTATACTAATGCTCTTGGGGTCATCATTGCTTCTCTCACTAGTATACTAATGTATACTAGGATTTCATTTAAGGATTTAAATTAAAGATTTCATTTACCTGGTTTGTTTGTTCTAATAGCCAAGAGTTTGCAAGAATCATTTATTATTATTATTATTATTATTATAGTAAAGTTCATTATTATTTTTTCTCGTTTCATCCTGCCACTTACACACCTTACTTTGAGGTGTTTCCGGGGCTTAGCGTCCCCGCGGCCCGGTCGTTGACCAGGTCTCCTGGTTGCTGGACTGGTGAACTGGGCTGCTGGATGCTGCTGCTCGCAGCCTGACGTATGAATCACAGCCTGGTTGATCAGATATCCTTTGCAGGTGTTTATCCAGTTCTCTCTTGAACACTGAGGGGTCGGCCAGTTATGTCCCTTATGTGTAGTGGAAGCGTGTTGAACAGTCTCGGGCCTCTGATGTTGATAGTTCTCTCTTAGAGTACCTGTTGCACCTCTGCTCTTCAATGGGGGTATTCTGCACATCCTGCCATGTCTCCTGGTCTCATGTGATGTTATTTCTGTGTGCAGGTTTGGGACCAGCCCCTCTAATATTTTCCACGTGTAAATTATTATGTATCTCTCCCGCCTGCGCTCAAGAGAATAAAGATTTAGGCTCTTTAGTCGGTCCCAGTAGTTTAGATGTTTTACCGAGTGGATTCTAGCAGTAAAGGATCTCTGCACGCTCTCCAGATCAGCAATTTCTTCAGCTTTGAAAGGGACTGTCATTGTGCAGCAGTACTCCACTCTAGAGAGCACTAGCGTCTTGAAAAGTATCATCATCAGTATAGCATCTCTAGTGTGAAAGGTTCTTGTAATCCAACCTGTCATTTTTCTTGCAGTTTTTTGTTTGCATTTTTTTGCAGTTTTTCTTGCATTTTTCTTGCAGTTATTTTTCTTTGGACCTTACACACTGCAAGGCCCAAAGCAACATTTTTTGTTTATGTGAATAAGAGCCACACGACCCTGGACCAGTACTGATTGATTAAGATTAAGCCAACCAGGAGGTGGCACGGGCATGAATAGCCCGTAAGTGGTAGGGCCCAGTATTGCTGCACTACTGCCTCACGTCACAACAGTAACCAGGGTGACCCTTGCAGTGAAAGCCCACAGTATTTCACAGGCGTGTTAGACAGGACGCCCCTTAACCAAACTGTCGATGATGTTCTGACAAGGGATAATTATATTTCGCTACGCCTGCAAACAGCTGCCACCACCCGTTGTGTCTTAATAACCACTTTAAGGGTGTGGACCCTAAGGAGGGAGAGTCCTGGACATGACATACACACTTATGAGCTATTAAGTTATGCCACTTGGTTGATAATTACTTTAGTTACTAAATTGACTTTGAGAGCCATTGAGCAATGGCCAGGCCCAAGTAAGCTCAAGATGGCATAGGCTCATACGGGTGACAAAAAGTCACTGAAAAGTCAAATGAAACCTTAAAGCATAGAATATTAATACAAAATAATTACCTATATCATATTATGAAATATGGTGCAAAATATAGAGGCAAGGTGTAGTGGGATACCTGGTTGATACCTGGTTGATGGGGTTCTGGGAGTTCTTCTACTCCCCAAGCCCGGCCCGAGGCCAGGCTCGACTTGTGAGAGTTTGGTCCACCAGGCTGTTGCTTGGAGCGGCCCGCAGGCCCACATACCCACCACAGCCCGGTTGGTCCGGCACTCCTTGGAGGAATAAATCTAGTTTCCTCTTGAAAATGTCCACGGTTGTTCCGGCAATATTTCTTATGCTTGCTGGGAGGACGTTGAACAACCGCGGACCTCTGATGTTTATACAGTGTTCTCTGATTGTGCCTATGGCACCTCTGCTCTTCATTGGTTCTATTCTACATTTTCTTCCATGTCGTTCACTCCAGTACGTTGTTATTTTACTGTGTAGATTTGGTACTTGGCCCTCCAGGATAGGTGGACGGTATAGTGAAGTACTAACAACTCGGAGGGCAATTACTTGGAAACTGTAGACTAGCCTTGCGGGCAGGTGGCAGGTACCGGGGCCCAGTCTCACATATCTGGGGGTCTGACGGCTGAGTGGACAGCGCTCGAGATTTGTAGTCCTAAGGGTCCGAGTTCAATCCCCAGTGGAGGAAACAAATGGGTAGTTTCTTTCACCGTGATGCGCTTGTTCACCTAGCAGTAAATAGGTACCTGGCAGTTAGACAGCTGCTACAGGCTGTTTCCTGTATGTATATATATGTATGTATGTATATATGTATGTATGTGTGTGTATGTGCGTGTGGAAAAAAAAAGTTGATCGAGAGCTGAGAAGAACGCCTGAGGAGCCAGAGCTCAACCCCCGCAAATAGAACTAGACGAGTACATACCCACGCTCCATCCCCACTCACCAACACTAAAACCCTCCTCCTGTACACCCAGTCTACATGAGCTGAGAGGTGGTGGTGGTGGGAGAAGCGCGGGGACTTGTAGCAGGACCCCTGTATACAGGTGGACCAGTCTCCCCGTGCATGCCTGCCTCCACCCACCCTCCCTCTCATTAATGTGTATACCCACTTGAGAGGTTATGGGGCACCATGACTCTTAACAGAGACCTTCTACAGGGCACGTGCTGACCTCTGAGTGGTGGGGAGAGAGAATACCCAAGGAAGGACTCTAATGGGGGAAAAGATATACTGCAGGAATTAGGAAGGAGCAAGAGTGTGTGTGTAGAGGGAGATTGTTTACACAATTAAGGCGTAGTTCTCATCTCACCACTTGCACTGGCAGCCCTAAGTGCTTACTGGGAGTCCTCTGGTAGGCTCAGCCCATCTTCACACTCCTTCAACACCCCTGCTGCTGCTCTCACTGGCAAGCAAGTTTATGACTGTTTTAGTAGTGAAGGGGGAAGCGGGGGGGGGCAGCAGGACACGGCAGTGACACTTACCTCAACAAGACAGTGGCAGTCTCTGGGACCCGATACACCTGCAGGAGGAGAAGAGTATTACTAATCTGTCATTACCATTCACTCAAAGCGAAGCACAAGGCTTGATATTTTGTTGTTTACTGTAGGAGGGCCACTGGCCACACCTGTGTACCTCCCTCTATGGCAGGTGTTTCAAGAGGTCACACCTGTCATCACTCGGCAGGATAATTAAGATTAGTTGCAGTAGAGGCTTAGTCACTGGAGCAAGAGGAAGAAAGTGCCTCTTGCTCAAGGACCCACGACTCGTGGATAACCCAAGAAATTGAATTATACTATTAAGCTTGGTGTGTGATCCTGTTTGTAGTAGTGGGAAGCGATTGTGAGAGTCTATGACACAACATGTGTACTCCAGCTCCATGCTAATGCTCTCAACACACACCTCTCCCACCACCTTCTATCTGCTAATTCTCACAATTATTGTCATTAATTCTAGTGCAAGGTTAATGTATCCCAGTGAGCAAGGCTGGAGTTTCGTAAGGCTGCCTCTCACCACCCTGTCCTACATGTCCGCCATTAAATGCCCATTGCGTATTCATCCTCAACCCAACCCGTCCTAATACAGTGTTGCATTTTGACGTATACTCTCCCTAAGGCCAAAAATGGTCATACAGTACTTGAAAAATGCAGTGGCTCGCGAAGATGACATACTGTCCCGTTTTCTGTTTTCGGTCCTCTGGTAGGTTTGGATAAGGGCACTTTACTACGACATTGGGGAAGGTAAGGAGGACGGGCTGTTTAACCACCCCAGGAGATGGGTGACAGTTTTAACAAGAGTCGTGCCCCATATATTGTACAAAATATGAACAGTTCGTGAAGATGTGATGACTGACAAGGACTCAGGTGAGCGTCATACTTTATATATTATTCACTGGACGTCACAATAGTTTAACACAGAGTAATAACACATCAAGATAATTAACAATATATAATTCTTGTCTTGACCGAGTCGGCCGCGGACCCGATGACCGGTCCCAGTGTGTGTGGTCTTGACGACTGGTCCCAGTGTGTGTGGTCTTGACGGCCGGTCCCAGTGTGTGGTCTTGACGGCCGGTCCCAGAGTGTGGTCTTGACGGCCGGTGCCAGAGTGTGGTCTTGACGGCCGGTGCCAGAGTGTGGTCTTGACGGCCGGTCCCAGAGTGTGGTCTTGACGGCCGGTGCCAGAGTGTGGTCTTGACGGCCGGTGCCAGAGTGTGGTCTTGACGGCCGGTCCCAGAGTGTGGTCTTGACGGCCGGTGCCAGTGTGTGGTCTTGACGGCCGGTGCCAGTGTGTGGTCTTGACGGCCGGTGCCAGTGTGTGGTCTTGACGGCCGGTGCCAGTGTGTGGTCTTGACGGCCGGTGCCAGTGTGTGGTCTTGACGGCCGGTGCCAGTGTGTGGTCTTGACGGCCGGTGCCAGTGTGTGGTCTTGACGGCCGGTCCCAGTGTGTGGTCTTGACGGCCGGTCCCAGTGTGTGGTCTTGACGGCCGGTCCCAGTGTGTGGTCTTGACGACCGGTCCCAGTGTGTGGTCTTGACGACCGGTCCCAGTGTGTGGTCTTGACGACCGGTCCCAGTGTGTGGTCTTGACGACCGGTCCCAGTGTGTGGTCTTGACGACCGGTCCCAGTGTGTGGTCTTGACGACCGGTCCCAGTGTGTGGTCTTGACGACCGGTCCCAGTGTGTGGTCTTGACGACCGGTCCCAGTGTGTGGTCTTGACGACCGGTCCCAGTGTGTGGTCTTGACGACCGGTCCCAGTGTGTGGTCTTGACGACCGGTCCCAGTGTGTGGTCTTGACGACCGGTCCCAGTGTGTGGTCTTGACGACCGGTCCCAGTGTGTGGTCTTGACGACCGGTCCCAGTGTGTGGTCTTGACGACCGGTCCCAGTGTGTGGTCTTGACGACCGGTCCCAGTGTGTGGTCTTGACGACCGGTCCCAGTGTGTGGTCTTGACGACCGGTCCCAGTGTGTGGTCTTGACGACCGGTCCCAGTGTGTGGTCTTGACGACCGGTCCCAGTGTGTGGTCTTGACGACCGGTCCCAGTGTGTGGTCTTGACGACCGGTCCCAGTGTGTGGTCTTGACGACCGGTCCCAGTGTGTGGTCTTGACGACCGGTCCCAGTGTGTGGTCTTGACGACCGGTCCCAGTGTGTGGTCTTGACGACCGGTCCCAGTGTGTGGTCTTGACGACCGGTCCCAGTGTGTGGTCTTGACGACCGGTCCCAGTGTGTGGTCTTGACGACCGGTCCCAGTGTGTGGTCTTGACGACCGGTCCCAGTGTGTGGTCTTGACGACCGGTCCCAGTGTGTGGTCTTGACGACCGGTCCCAGTGTGTGGTCTTGACGACCGGTCCCAGTGTGTGGTCTTGACGACCGGTCCCAGTGTGTGGTCTTGACGACCGGTCCCAGTGTGTGGTCTTGACGACCGGTCCCAGTGTGTGGTCTTGACGACCGGTCCCAGTGTGTGGTGACGACCGGTCCCAGTGTGTGGTCTTGACGACCGGTCCCAGTGTGTGGTCTTGACGACCGGTCCCAGTGTGTGGTCTTGACGACCGGTCCCAGTGTGTGGTCTTGACGACCGGTCCCAGTGTGTGGTCTTGACGACCGGTCCCAGTGTGTGGTCTTGACGACCGGTCCCAGTGTGTGGTCTTGACGACCGGTCCCAGTGTGTGGTCTTGACGACCGGTCCCAGTGTGTGGTCTTGACGACCGGTCCCAGTGTGTGGTCTTGACGACCGGTCCCAGTGTGTGGTCTTGACGACCGGTCCCAGTGTGTGGTCTTGACGACCGGTCCCAGTGTGTGGTCTTGACGACCGGTCCCAGTGTGTGGTCTTGACGACCGGTCCCAGTGTGTGGTCTTGACGACCGGTCCCAGTGTGTGGTCTTGACGACCGGTCCCAGTGTGTGGTCTTGACGACCGGTCCCAGTGTGTGGTCTTGACGACCGGTCCCAGTGTGTGGTCTTGACGACCGGTCCCAGTGTGTGGTCTTGACGACCGGTCCCAGTGTGTGGTCTTGACGACCGGTCCCAGTGTGTGGTCTTGACGACCGGTCCCAGTGTGTGGTCTTGACGACCGGTCCCAGTGTGTGGTCTTGACGACCGGTCCCAGTGTGTGGTCTTGACGACCGGTCCCAGTGTGTGGTCTTGACGACCGGTCCCAGTGTGTGGTCTTGACGACCGGTCCCAGTGTGTGGTCTTGACGACCGGTCCCAGTGTGTGGTCTTGACGACCGGTCCCAGTGTGTGGTCTTGACGACCGGTCCCAGTGTGTGGTCTTGACGACCGGTCCCAGTGTGTGGTCTTGACGACCGGTCCCAGTGTGTGGTCTTGACGACCGGTCCCAGTGTGTGGTCTTGACGACCGGTCCCAGTGTGTGGTCTTGACGACCGGTCCCAGTGTGTGGTCTTGACGACCGGTCCCAGTGTGTGGTCTTGACGACCGGTCCCAGTGTGTGGTCTTGACGACCGGTCCCAGTGTGTGGTCTTGACGACCGGTCCCAGTGTGTGGTCTTGACGACCGGTCCCAGTGTGTGGTCTTGACGACCGGTCCCAGTGTGTGGTCTTGACGACCGGTCCCAGTGTGTGGTCTTGACGACCGGTCCCAGTGTGTGGTCTTGACGACCGGTCCCAGTGTGTGGTCTTGACGACCGGTCCCAGTGTGTGGTCTTGACGACCGGTCCCAGTGTGTGGTCTTGACGACCGGTGCCAGTGTGTGGTCTTGACGATTGGTCCCAGTGTGTGGTCTTGACTGGTCCCAGTGTGTGGTCTTGACTGGTCCCAGTGTGTGGTCTTGACTGGTCCCAGTGTGTGTGGTCTTGACGACTGTGCCAGTGTGTGTGGTCTTGACGACTGGTGCCAGTGTGTGTGGTCTTGACGACTGGTCCCAGTGTGTGGTCTTGACGACTGGTCCCAGTGTGTGGTCTTGACGACTGGTCCCAGTGTGTGGTCTTGACTGGTCCCAGTGTGTGGTCTTGACGACTGGTCCCAGTGGGTGGTCTTGACTGGTGCCAGTGGGTGGTCTTGACTGGTGCCAGTGGGTGGTCTTGACTGGTGCCAGTGTGTGGTCTTGACTGGTGCCAGTGTGTGGTCTTGACGGCCGGTCCCAGTGTGTGGTCTTGACGGCCGGTCCCAGTGTGTGGTCTTGACGGCCGGTCCCAGTGTGTGGTCTTGACGGCCGGTCCCAGTGTGTGGTCAGTAGCGTGCCTGTGGCCGATTATTAAGTAATCAGGAGCTGGCCAATAAGACTAATTGTTCAGCTTCAGCGGCCTTCACTCTCCGAGAGGAAGATTTGGGCCAAAGGAAGACTTGGGCCAGAGGAAGACTTGGGCCAGAGGAAGACTTGGGCCAGAGGAAGACTTGGGCCAGAGGAAGACTTGGGCCAGAGGAAGACTTGGGCCAGAGGAAGACTTGGGCCAGAGGAAGACTTGGGCCAGAGGAAGAGGAAGACTTGGGCCAGATCACGTGATCAAGGCTGGTGTGTGAGGCGTAACTAAGGGCGACGAGGCGGCCTCACACACCACAAACACGACCTTAACCCCACCTGCCCGTCCCCCCCCCCTCCACCAGGTGTGTCAACACCCGCTGCACCAGGTGTGTCAACCCCCGCTGCACCAGGGGTGTCAACACCCGCTGCACCAGGGGTGTCAACACCCGCTGCACCAGGGGTTACCTGGTTGATACCTGGTTGATGGGGTTCTGGGAGTTCTTCTACTCCCCAAGCCCGGCCCGAGGCCAGGCTCGACTTGTGAGAGTTTGGTCCACCAGGCTGTTGCTTGGAGCGGCCCGCAGGCCCACATACCCACCACAGCCCGGTTGGTCCGGCACTCCTTGGAGGAATAAATCTAGTTTCCTCTTGAAAATGTCCACGGTTGTTCCGGCAATATTTCTTATGCTTGCTGGGAGGACGTTGAACAACCGCGGACCTCTGATGTTTATACAGTGTTCTCTGATTGTGCCTATGGCACCTCTGCTCTTCATTGGTTCTATTCTACATTTTCTTCCATGTCGTTCACTCCAGTACGTTGTTAT